CGTCCCGCGGGTGCCTGCTGTGGCCTCTGTGGCTGTGTAACCAACGTAAAGGCAAAGCACCGAGATTATGCTGTCCTCGGCTTCGTGCTACCGAGGTCTTGTCCGAATGGCTATAGACACGTGTCCTCAGGAGTGAATGTAAGCCCGTGGCCTTTATACCCTTGCAGTGTTCACTCGCTGTGCCCGCAGTTCCCGAGTCAGGCGCCTTCGGCTTGGTGTTTTAAAAGGCCATTCCCTTCAGCTAATGCAAGGTGTTGAGTCTCCCGTAGGTGCTGGTGCCCTGCAGTGGTTCTGGCTGTGCATCTCGGTCCCTGCCGCCTGTGGCTGCTTCTTCAAAAGCCGAAGGATGCTGGCCGAGGCCAGGCTCTCAGTTTCCCATGGAAACCTAGACCTTCTCAGTTTCTGATGGAAACCTGGACAAGGCCTGGAGACCAGACCCAAGGCCTGGGTCTCCAGGCCTTGCAAACAAGGCATTCATAGAGTAGTCAAGTTCTGGGTTTATTGATGGTATCCTCTATGCATCGATCTCTTACTCAATCAAGAAAACATTATAGAACTTAGCATGGCATTTCAAGTGGACAATGTTCATCTACAGTGTAATTTCACTTCCCAGTTGTCCTGTGGAAAAAGCCTAGTTGTTACATTAGTTAATTCACAGATTAGGCTGAGCTGTAAGGGACCTGCAAGGATTGTTTGACTCTTAAGTAAATTGTCCATAATGGGATCAAACCCACAACCTTGGTGTTGTTAGCAGCATGCTGTAACCAACTGAGCTAATCCCAGCAATTCAACCTGTTGTGATTTCAGTGCAGAACAAAAGGCATGGCACCAAACACTGAATTCATTACCATTCTGCTTTCATATTTATGTATGTAATGACATTATCTGTCCCTCCCAAACTATACTATGGTTGTATGTTAGCTGCTAAGGGTGTACCTGCTGTGTGGCACCAATACTGAGATTCATCTGAGCAGTGACATTGCTTACTAACACCTCTCTAAATCTGCTACCTTGTTATCCACTATCTTTTGCTGCCCTCCCCCGCTCCCCATCAGTTTCTGGCTTATACAGTTCTGTTGAAAACCTCAGAATGAACTAAACATGGAGATGTCTAAGTGAGGTAGTAGAGAAACTGGAACAATTGCTGCAAGAGGTGTGAGCTGCCCTGTTCATGTTAGCAAGGTGTTAACCCAAATACCCTGGTGTGGCAGGTTTTAATGTCATCGTTGTTAACTCCTTCTTGGCTCAAATATGAGAAAAAGAGGGAGGATCACAGTTCTGTAAATTGTTACCATGACTGATAATTCATTTTATGGTCACAAAAGACACAAGTATTCTCATGGCTTTGAAAGGCAGTAGGGAGTGAATATCAAGGAGTTCTCTTGAAACTCAGGTTGCAGAACCTGTGAATTATGTTGTGATTTGTATGGGAGGAGTTTTTTGATAGCCATAGTTTGGGAAGAAACTGTGGTTGTGTCATTAGGTAATTATATCCAGTAAGTAAATTGGTAGCAAATGTGTTCACAAGATTTTATGTTCATAAAATCACAGATTATCCTGAGTTGGAATACACCCACAAGGATCCTCAAGTCCAGTTCCTGGCCCTGACTTCCCCAAGAATCAGACCATGTGCTTGAGTGTGTTGTCCAAACACTTCTTGAACTCTGTCCTGCTTGGTGTCATGAGAACTTCCTTGGAGAGCCTGTTCAAGTGCCCAGCCACCATCTGGGTGAAAAATCTTTTCCTAACATCCAGCTTAAAAAACCTCCTGTAACTCAGCTTAAAGCTTCTGCTTTTCCCCTTGTGAGAAAGCTGTAGACTGCAGTGAGGTCTCCCTTCAGTCTCCAGGCTGAACAAAGAAGTGACCTCAGCTGCTCCTTGAGTGCCTCTAGGCCATTCCTCTCCTCTAGGCCCCTCACCAGTTTTGTAGCTCTCCTTTTGATGCTCTCCTAAAGTTTTATATTCTTTTTGTATTGTGGAGCCCAAAACATGCAGGACCTGAGGTGAGGCTGCCCCAGCTCAGAGCAGAGCAGGACAATCCCCTCCTTGCCTGCCTGGTGATGCTGTCCCTGATGGCCCCAGGACAGGGCTGGCCCTGCTGGCTGCCAGGGCACTGCTGGCTCTCATTCCACTCTCCAGAACCTCCAGGTCCCTTTCTGCAGTGCTGCTCTCCAGATGCTTTTCCCCCCAGTCTGTTTGTACATCCGGAATTGCTCCATCCCAGGTGTTAAACTGTGTTAAACTTCACTTGGTTGCTGATTGTTCAGCCCTTAATTTGTGTAGGTTTTCCTAGAGGGCCTCTCTGCCTTTGAGGGAGTCAACAGCTTCTCCCAATTTAGGAAGTTGTTACACTATTTTGTTTTGTCCTTCTCCAAAATCAATGTGCTGCAGCCCGGCACTGAATTTGATTTTTGTATGCAGCACTTCCAAACCTATGTAGGGCGCAGTTTTTAGTGGTTATGATAAAGTTCATTTTATTTTTACTGTGCACTTGGTTATAGCTGTCATTTTCAGGTGGTGATGTTTGGATCCCTACTTGAATATTCACAGATGCCTAAAGTGGAGTCATGGATGATAGCTGAGATAGACAATACAGATTTTGGTACCTATTCTTGACATAGGGCTTAAAAACACAGGGTCTGAAGACTGTTTTGATATTTTTCCTAAGCTACTTAACATATCTATTTCTTCATGTCAGGTGGAAGTGTAGGTTGCTAAATAAAACGATTTTATCAGTGGACAGAGACAATTTGACTTGCAGAAAGGATGTGACTTGTTTCAAAGTGGCAAGGGCAGTAAGACTAGAGCTGGAAGAATACACTGAAAAGAATTAAATTATAGCTTCAAAAGATAGAAAGGATAAAATAGTAAGGGATAAAGCAATGTTGAATTTAAAGGGAAAAATGTAGAAGTAAAAGGAAAAGTTGTTTTTCAGATGGTCTTTTGCAAATTTAATTAAACTTCTTTTAGATAAGTTTTGTGACTAATAACATAAGTTACCAGAATAACATCTGCAATCCTTGTGTTAATGTAACTGACACGTTTTTAGCCTTGTCACCTCATGCTCTGAAACTTGAGAACACTGGTGTGTTTTAATCATATCCCTGATGTTAGTTTCCAAAATGTTCATTCATTTATATTGTGTGTACTGATTGCTCATTTACTACAGAGGTACAGAAGTCAAAGGTAGGCATTGTTTTTTATTTGTCTCTTAATCCTTACTTCCAGTTAAAGATTTTTTTTTTTAAATTGCAGGAAGAATGGTATTCAGTCCTATTATTCATAAACCTTGCTCTTCATTTGTATGTGATGTTCTTTATTTGGAATGAAAGGTGTAAATTTTATCTTGAAAGGAGTGGCTGAAGAGCTAAATATTCAAGCTCTCCAGGAGTTTGGGCAGATTTGTTTCTATAATGAAACTTTTATTTGTGATTTACATTGTTTTTCATTACACCTTGTCATGTGCTTCTGAAAATTATGTAGTGCTGGAGCAGCTGATTAATAGTATTGAGCATGGTGGCAAATCTTAGGTGGTTAACATCTCCTCTTGTGATAACTGAGGGATTTGTTGGTTGTTAGATTTTCCTGCATCCCTTCCTTGTCCATCTTGAGTACTTTGTTCTTTCTATGTTGGATTTACCTCTTACTCATCTCTTGTTTCTGGTGCAAGTTCTTGCACAGTTCCTTATGTCACTGCTTAGCTCTATTTTATGTGATCTGTTTGGTTTATACAATTCAGATAGTTTGTGTTTTTTCAGGACCTTTCTCTTTTTCTTACTCCAAGTGGAAGTAAGCAATAAATTCTTGGACACCATTCACTGTTCGTTAGAAAGGGCGTAGAAGTAGAGATTTTACACTTGGGACTGATTTCAGACAAGAGGTGTTCAAATGTGTGGGCTTGACTTTTTAAAAAGTGTGCCACCCTATCCTGTATGTAGGATTTGAATTGTGTCTGTACTGTTAGAACATTTTAGCTTCTCAGAAAAACCCCTGGAATGTATATTTGGTTGCTGAAATCCTGCTGCATGGTGTTTTGTTTAAGTGACAGAAAGTTGCGTTGAGGATTTTGTGTCAGTTACCAAGTGCAGCTTCACAACAGTGGAATCAGGGCTGGCTCTGCTGGTTTAATCCTTGGTCAGCCCACAGCCCTAGCTTTGTTTTCTGCGTTTTGCTGGAATTCTTACCTATTTTCAGATGGGATTTGAGGTGGGCTGAGGTGTTCCCTTTATAGGTAGCTCACAACTCAAGTTTTCCTAACTGGCAAGTCTGTCATACTTGAACAATGGTGTAGGCTATGTGTTAATGAAGCTGCATTATTTCCAGTAGTAAATATTAAGTCCTAATCTGTAATTAATTTTCAGGCCCTGTAACTGGATTAGCTGTGTGATCAGCAGTATAAAAATATCTCCTTGTGTCGGCTTGGCTTTAGTTATTACTCACTAGATGTATGAGCATTTGCAATCTGCATGTAATTAACAAGAAAGTGTGCTTTGTCAGGTCTGCTTTTCCTTTTCTTTCTAGGCATTACAAACTTGCTGTAATACAGCCATTGTTCACTATTAGCAAACAGCATTCTCGTAATCCAGTACTGCCATATTGCAGGAACATGAGCCCGAAAGCAAAATGTAAGATAACAAATTCAGCTAGTGAAAAAGGTGAAAATTGACTTTGAGGTGATGATAGAATGGTGAGAAGTTAAAGCTTTGGAAATTTTCCCTGGTGTTGTCATCCCTGTACTCCATCTTAATTTAAAATGTTGTCAGTATTAGAAAGATCTCAAAATCTGGAACTTTTAAAGTATAATTAAATTTATTCATATACATTTAAAGAAGAATAAAAAAGGATACTGTGTAGAAAAGCTGCATTGATAAGTTTCTTTTGCTTTTAAATTAGGGTTTCAGAGTATCACAGATCTAGTTTCACTTGGATTATAACACTTCTGTCATTTCATATTGTCCTTCTGTATTTTAAAACCTCTGTAGAAGCTTGCTGCTTAAAGCTCTAGTTTGTATGCAAACACTGATGTCCAAATGAGATTACCAAACTCTGTAGCATTTCACGTATGTATAAAGGTGTTTCTTTGGTCCTGGTCCATCATCCATCAGTTCACACTGGATGTCTTTGATAAAATTCTTAACCTTTAAAGGATTCTATAGGGTTTTTTTAGGGCACAGGTTTACAAAGCAGGATGCTGAAATTATTCTGTAGCTTTGACCCCTTGAATTCCTTGTCGGTAAAGGCACAGAAGCCCTCCCAAAGGCTACAGGATTGGATACTTTAAGGATTAATTGATACATCAAATACAATTGTAGGAAAAGACCCTAAGATTTTAGAAAGATAAGTTGTTTTTCTCTCCCATGACTTTAATGGGTCTATCTCGAAATGAATTTGTTCCCATGTGTGACTTGGTGTTTTCAAACAGAGGTTTTGAGTAGTTGATGCAGTCTGATTCAATGATACAGACTTGTTGGAGAAGTTTTTATGATGCACATAGGCATAAATGATTCACATGAATTAACCTAAGAATGGTATTTTTTATTTAATACAAGGGGAATAAGCTAGGCAGAATAATGGAGATGAAAATTTTGAGTTGAATGTGTTCTTTTCGTAGAGGAGTACTAAGCTCTAATCATATTTGCTTACTCAAAACACTGCTATAGGTGCACTAAACTAGATCTGATTATTTTTTTGTAAAAAAAAAATATAATGTCTAGAACCAATAGTCTGATGAAAGGAGTGTTTGCCAATAAGCAGGCAGTGGACACTCTGCTGCTCCTTCTGTTATTTAGAAAAGTTTACTTTTCCAGTGTATTGTATAATTATCTCATAGGCAAGTGTTCTAAAACAAAACTTTGTAATGAAATGGAGTATTTACCTCACAGAAACAATTTTTACCGAGTGACATCATGAAGAATAACTGAATCCTCTAAATTAATGCAACTTTGCACTTTTTTATAAACTTGTTATTCATTCTCCAAACCATCTCAAGTATTGAGCAAACTATAGATCTGCATGTGGAACAAATGACAGAATGGCTGTTAAATTCAAGTTTTAGTAGACTTGTCACAGATTAAAACAAGACCTTCCCTTCCAGGAAAACAGCTTCTTTGTAGTGGAGATTTTCTTTAAATGTGATGTAGGTTAAAGAATGGTAATTCTGCATCTCCTTGATTTTCTTCCCTTTTCACTTTAGTAATTGCTATTTCTAGTGCTGAAGTTCTTATTGATACTTTTTTTGAGTTTTATTTTTTAGCTTAAAAAAGAAGAGTATCTTAGAAATCTGTCTACTCACAACTGCTTACCTTTGATGGCAACTGGTAGGAAAAACTATTAATATGTAATAAAAAAGAAGGTCCCATTTATGGCTCCACATTTCTCAATCTCCCAAAATAAAGAAAGTGATTGCTTTTCAAATTTATATTGTGTTGTATTTTAACTTGGATTCATGATCCTCGACTGAACTTTCTAAAGCATTTTTTCTAGTAAGGAACATAACTGATGCTTAGAAGTTAATCGAACTAGAATTCCAAGAAAAGCATGAGGTAGTAAAATTGCTAATTAAAATGATGTAAAGTTACTAAAACTTTCTTTGTTCTTCATACATACTGTGATTCTTAATGAAAAAGCAATAGTATTTAAAGTACTGTTTTGAACACTTTTTGAACATGGCTAAATAAAAAAATCAAGAAAATCCAAATTATAGGTTGTATAACTAGAAATGCACATTTCAAAGACTGTTACTGGAATTGCTTGACTCAGTTCCCTTTGGATGGAGAAAGTGTGAGGTTCTTTAAGTAGCTGGGTAGAGCAGATTTTAACTTTTCTGAGTAATCTGTGTCACTTCTACCTGAAGTCCTGAAAGAGGTGAGAGCAGAGCTGTTAACTACCAGCAGGATGAGTAAAGGGTGAGCAAATCAGTTACTAGCTGTGTTGAATGGAGTGGGGGGATTACATGACTTCTCACAGGACACTCTTCTAAGAAAGCTTTTGTCTTGGTATCCTCTTCTTGTAATAGTGTTCTAATGAATATAGAAGCTGCTAGAGGCCCTTTTGTTGTTAGGACTGTAAAGCAGCTTTGGATTTCATTCTCTTCTCCCCTTTAAAGGTCTGCTGCCTGCAGCACAGCTCCACACCGTGCTTGAGGTGTTCTCCAGGCCATCCTGGGTCCTTTGGTCAGAGACTAGAAAGTCAGCAAAGCATTTGTCATCTGTTTGCCAGCTTCCATACAGAGTGAATTTGATGTGTTCTAGTGGTTGGGATGTTCTTATTCCTCTTTATGTGTATTAGTTTCTTGGGGTTTGGTCATTTTTAGAAAAATAGCAAAAACTATTAAAATGACCAGCTGTGGTTCCTGGCCTTCCATGGCAGTAAAGAGCTTTTGCAGCTGAGGGTTTTGATCAACCACAGAAGGCTCTTATTGCAACTGTAATCTTGACCCCTACATATTGTATTCAGTGAGAACCATGAACACTGAGATTTGCCAAACCCCACAGATTTTGTTTGTTAAAAAAACCCCAAGTCATAAATGTTTCTTAGTGATTTAGTGAATAGGGATATCTCCTAGTTAAGTAATATCTCTCTTTAATTCTTTACACTGCGCTGAGGTTTTATGGAAAACAATTTCTCTTTCACAAAGGTATTCCCTTTTCTGTAGCTTTCTCCCTTTTTTTTTTTGCAAACTTCTAACTTCTTTAACTGTTCTTTATCTTTTGTTCCTTGTCCCCAAGAGGAGCATTCTGGAATCTGCTGATCAGTCTTTAGGAAACATTCAGTAGTTCTATCAGACAGATTCCTTGCCTGTAGACCTGATTTTCAAGGAGCTAGTGACTTAGCTGTAGTCCCTGGAAGCCTGCCTTTGGTTTTAATTCTGGCTAACTTTTGTGTATGCTTTTACAAAATGCTTATTTTTTAGTATTTGTAGTATTTAGTCTTTGTTTTGCAACCTTTACTTGATTAGCTGTGTTCATCCATGTGTCCCTTGTAATGTTTGATGGTGCTTGGAAGTTTCATCAGAAGGTAAGGTAAAGGTAAACTGTCAGAGTATTCAATTGACCTAACAAAAATGCCCAAGTTTGGGCTGGCAGAGGGAGAAGAAAAAGCTGCTGCTAGCATTTACTAGCTATCACTTTGTGGCCAAAGGCCGTGATCTCTTCAAACAGCCTCCCCAGAAGACCAGGAAAAGTGTGTGGAGGATGTGAGTGATACCAAAAGTATCAACTTTCAAATGCAGAAGGCAAACTGTAGGAAAATACATTTCTTACTTGTCTGGGAATAATATTTTCATGATGATATAAAGCAGGAGTAAGACTGTTGAAATGCAGATTCTTCTGTAGGGACTAGTTCACAGGTGTCTGGTATTAGAGTAAGAAGTAGCTTTCTTCATGCAGAATAGTAAACTTTAAAAAGGGGGAAAAAGCTCTTATTCTGGAAACTGTAATATAGTTGAAAAAAGGCAAAAGGGGTTGATGGTTTTACATCATGGTTGTGTCCTATTTTTTGATGAAGTCTTGCTTCTGAGTTTTTTGGTTTTTTTTTTTCCTTTGAAAGTTGTTGCCATATATGCTACTGCAGAGATGAATAGATCAGAAGTGCAGGTACTTTGCTTGTGAACACATTTGCTTTATCTGGTATCTGCTATTTTTAATAGTTGCACCTTATTTTTCTTAACTATTTTGTGTAAATCCTAGGGATACTGACTTCAGTAAAGTGTTTTAAGATTGTTGAAGGAAAATCACTGTAATTGTAAAGCAATGGATAGTTGAGAATCAAGGAGGAATATTTAAGATGTTCAAGTAGGAACTCACAAGTAAATACAGTACTGCTTAAACTGAACATCTGCATTTGGGTTATTTGGAGAGGTAGTTGTACCCAGAGCCTGAAACTTAGACACTGTAAGATAATTAAAGTTTTTTGGACTTTTCGTACAGTCACTTAGGCTAGGTTTAACACCATCATTTTTACCGTGCACTTTTAAGTACTAAATATTTTCTAATTAAAAATACAAAAGCAAAATCCTGTAAATACAAACATTTTTTAAAATTAAAAAAAAAACCCCATTGAAACTGATACTTCTCAACAGAGATTTTTCTAAAAGCTGTAGATGAGTTTATAAAGTGTTTACTGTAGTTTCCTTTATACTGTTGTATAATTACTTTTGAATTACTGCTGTAGCTCTCTTCTCATTCTTCCTACTGGATGCTGCCCAGTGTCCTGATGTGCCCTCTCCTTCCTGCATTTTCAGCGTTTGTAGACTTGACAACCTGGGACTAAAAAGAAGGAATTTGCCTGGAGCACAGTTCTGTCGTGGTTCTGGTTGTGCTGGTGTGAACACCAGTAGAGCCTCTCCTTGCTATCAGTCTTACGCCTCTTTCTTTTGAATAATCAAACAGAAGATTGGCTGTTTAACCTAAGAGAAAACCCAACAATCTTTTTTGACTGTTCTGGGCTATCAGGGAAGTCTTCTCTTTTTGCTTTTCTTTTTCTTTGCTTGCTTGTTTTTCCCCAGATGGCCCTGTGTCCTGTTTCCTTCAGTTGCATTCCTACCCACTTCTCCTCTCTGTCAGTAGAGGGATGGCTGGTCCTTGCACTGGAGGCCTGTGCTTTGGCATTGTGAAAATTGTGGATGCTTCTGGCCAGCTTTGACAGCAGGGGAAACCCAGCTGCTCCTCCCAGGCCCTGAAGACTTCTCTCTGCTACATTTCCGTCTATGCTGTGGTATAAAAGTTAAACCTGTGCAGAGCCAAGGGTTGGACTTGGTGATTCTTGTGGGTCCCTTCCCCCTCAGGTTATTCTATGATGCTAATTATGGGAAGTAGATAAGTGGATGTAATTACTCCAAAGTGTGAATCAGCTGAGAAGCACCTTTTTACATGTATTTGAGTTAGTTTTCTGTTTTGACTTGCTCACTCACTGCGAGGTTAGGTGCTTAAAAATGATGATGTGATGGAGGTGAGTGAGGGCAATGTGGCACTGGTAAAACTTCCCTTTTGGTGACAGCAGGCAAGCCACTTAGTTCACTCTATCTGCATTTGTATTTGTGTGCTCCAAGCACCTGTATAGCCAAGTTGAGTTTAGAAAAAGAGTGTGGGAAGCAGAAATTAAGGCTGTAATCTGAGCCAGTAGTACTCATGATACTTCAGTCTTTCTTCTTGTCCTCATCTCACTGAATTCCCTCTTATGGGTGGCTTTGGAGTTATATAGTGAACAGGATCAGGGAATTCACCTGGTTGAAAAATAACCTAACAGGAAATTTATTTACCTCTTAAGGAAATTAACTTCCCCTTTCATTCACCAAAGGGCTGCTGAGCCTGACTGTGTGGGCAGAGGGAAAAGAGATGATAGGGATGGGGAGAGGGCAGGAAGGCTGCAGTGCCAGCTTGCTTTGACTGGAGTGAGTGGGGGCACGTGGTGTGCTGGTGCCAGTTCCTGCCATGTCATTCCACTGAACTGATTTGTCCTGTTTGCAAAATGTGCTTGAAGTTTTCTGACAGCTTTGTCTTGTGTGTAGCCTATGTACTGTACTGTGTTTGGTACACTGATGCTCTGCAGAAAGTTAAAATGAAGGATATTTGTAACATTTTATCTGTAAAATAATATATTTGTAGAAATCTGATATTTGTAGTATTTTAATATGAAAATCAGTGCATGGAAGCAAATCTAAGTCTGAGCTATTTGCTTTTAGTGTTTCTGTTGTATGTACAGAATAAAGGGTTTTTTTCCTGATGTAGAAATGCTAAGAAGGATATTTTTGAGGAGAAATGTCTTTAGTGTATATTGCTCATTGTAATCCTCTGTTGTTGCTAGATTCCACTAGTAATATCACATACAGTACTGTGTAGCCTCATAATGTAATGGCTTAGCATTAGTAAACTTTAAAAGATGATGACTTAAGAATGACAGATGTTGGTTTCAGTTGTTTTTTATAGAGAGGTAACAAAAAATGTTCTGAAAAATAGTGTTTTAAAGCTGATGGTAACTTAAAACCTGCCTCTTTGCTTAGTTTCAATACATTGCACTTTCACTTTTTCTTCATTTCATCTCCTTTTTAATGAGTAATTTTAAATTGAAATGATTGTCACCAAAAATAACTCTGACAGTAGAATTTCCATAGTGTGAGCATTCCAACTGATGCTATTCTGAAATGTGTTATCAGCTTCAAAAGATGAATAAAAAGTGTGTTTCAAGATGAAAACCATGTATTTGGTATAAGTGCATTGAACTATACAGTGTCTTCTAAAGGGTTTTAAACTCAGAAACTGAGAAATAAAAAACTGTTCTTGATGAATTCTCATCCCTTTGTTTTGAAGAAAGTGTATTTGGAAAAGCAGTATTTTTTTAGTGGTCTGTGTTGTTTTTTCTAAATCACTAACTGTACTCAAGAGAATTCTGGAGACAGCTGAAAGCAAACTACAACTTTACTTTTTAGTATAGAAATCAGGCAGCAGCACTTCTCTTTTTGAGTTGGATTTCTGAATGAAAAAGCTCCTAGATCCTCCACTGAAGAGACTTCATTTTCTTCTGAAGAACCAGAGTCTTCCACATAGCCATACAAATTCTAGCTTGTGCTCTTGTGTATGCTGTTTTTCTCAGCTTTGTGTTAGTGAATGAAAGAGTGCATACAGATCATGGGCATAAAAAATATTAGTATAATAAAAAGAAATAAAAGTATTTAATTGCTCTGCTGTCTGTATACAGATTTTTTTATTCAATAAGGCAGAAATACAAATGTGCTGCCAGAATTTGCTCCTTTATTTTTGGTTCACAGTGCATATTAAACAGTAGAAATATTCAGGATAATGTTCATATTTGTATCTGAGCAAACTTTGGACTTTCCATCCTTTTGGTCTATGTAGTCTTTTCATGGTACTTTTTGCTGCTCTTTGTGACAGTTTTAGTATACTCCTGTATGTTACATAAACAATGTTGTGTTATTTCTTTAGATTGACTCTTTCTGATGTATGGATAACAATTTTTTTTTCAAAATTATCTTTTTTTTCACTCTTGCAGAAAATTCTAAGCTGAGACATGTAGAAAAAGATGTTTTGATTCCACAAATAATGAGGGATCGAGCCAAGGAGCTGTGTTCAGATAAGGTGCAAGGTAAGAGTCAAATATTCATTAGGAGAGAGTCAAATATTCATTAGGAGATCAGATGTACTCACTTTTGTGCCCTGAATATAATCCTTGTATTTGAAATCATGTACTCAGAGAATTAATATGTGTGATCTCCATCTTTATCAGCTCACTGTAAAACCAGTATTGAAGCATATAAATCTGCTGTATTGGCTTTGGCTGCTTGGTGAAAAATTTTGGACTATTTTCCAAAATTTTTTACTCTCAAGGGCTGTTGAATTTAGTATGATTAATACAAAATTTTTTCACATCTCAGTTTGGTGATGACAGAGCAGCACAAGAGTTATTGTGTTTCTGTATGAATACTTAATACTTAAATAAATTCACCTGCCTCATGAAAACCTTCAGTTAAGGCTTCTCTCATTATAACAAATTTGTTTAAATATTCCCAACTTACTGCATCCTTTCCTTGCCCCAGCATTGAAATGATCCATGCACATAAACACACACATGTTACTCGACAGATGTTGAAATAGAGTGATGCAGTGCACTTCTGCTTTCATTTTCTTATGAGGAGCACTGGACTCTTTAAATTAATAACTTTTCAATAACTCTTTAAAGTGGTGTCACCCCCTCTGCTGAGAGCTGCTTACCCAGAGGTGAACCAAGAATGTTGCTATAAGAGGGATGTAAGGATGGATGAAAAGCCCCTGAATTATTCTGTACAAGTGTCAGCTTTCAGTAGAGAGCATTTGCATTCGATCATCCAGATCTGAGCTCTTTAAACTTCTTTTGTTCATGCACTCCAGCAGTAAAAGTTTTCTGACTGCACAATCCCAATATGGGTATATTCATTTATAAATTATGTAAATGTGTCACTGTGCTGTATGTTACATACATTATAAAACATAAAAATAGAAGTCTAAAAAGGATGAGATAAAGGTGAAATAAACAGTACTTTAAAATATTTTAAATATTTATCAATCTAAAAAGATTACTGTTAATAACAGTACTTTTTATTGACTGAACATGCATCATAGTTTTTAAAATCTTTAACACTGTGATATAGGAATTTGAATACCTGGTTCTAAATTCAGTGTATTTCAATACTTGATCTTGACAGGTACCCAGAAAAGATACCTTACAGAGATGTAAAATTACAGAGGTAATTTTACTTACCTATATTCATTTTTCAGTCCTATCCACAAGTTTTGCAAATGGTTTGCTTGAAATTAGGCTAATAAATTATCTTCTCCCCTGATGTCAATCAGTTTTTCTTCCAAACTAACGCGTGTCAGTGTTTTCAACCCCCTAAAACTCTCCTTGGGAAGATTTTTAACAGGTTAGAAAGGTTTTTAACAGGTGGAAAGGTTGATATCCTTTTAAAGGGCACAGATGTAGGAGGTTTTTGTAGGTGACACATGTTTTGTTCACCTAAAAAACCAAGCCAAAAATTACATAATTAGGTGAACATATCCAAATACCTGTTTTCAAAATGCAAGTTTCTTTTGCAAAGGAGTTACTTTCTTAGTCATTATTAAAATGACACCTTCACCTTAAAGGGACACATTGAGTGCTTAGTTTTTGGAAATTCCTGCTAGGTAGCAAACTGCTCACAGCCACTTGTCATCAGTGAAAAGGTCAGTGGATTTGGAGCACTTGTCAAACCTGACACATTTTTTTAACAAAAGACAACTCTGAAGCACACTGCCACAAATTATCCAGAGAGCAAACCTCTCTGTGCTGCCAGGGATTTTTGTGGCCCCTCCCCATCTCATTACAAAATCTGGTAAAGATGCCACTGTTTGAAGGCTCCTTTTTGTCAGGTTATAACATTGATGCCGTCCTGGCTCAATTGTGCACTTCTGGCTCCAACTACTTTGCTGCAATAGCTTACCTCTGAGGGAGGCAGTGAAGGAGTTTCAGCTGCAGTGCTCTCTCTGTAGCCTTAGTCTGGAATTCCTTTCTTATTCCAGTCAAAGCAGCCACTCCATCAGTAGCTACTTTTGCACAGCTTTTCCATAATACATTGTTTTTTATTCAAGATGCCACTTCCTGTTGAGAATAGATCTTCTCTAGTGCATCTTTCCTTTAGTGGCTCATAAGAAAAGTGTATATTTTTGTGCATTTTATTGTTGAAATGCAAATACCACAAGGTGTGAGAAGTTAAAAACTTCTCTACTTTCAAACTCAGCTGTATAGCAAACCTCCCACACTATGTAACTTGCTTTAACACTTGTTTCTTCAAATCTTTAGCAGTGTCTTCTGTGCATCTTCCAACAGTATTTAGTGACAAAGGAGTGCATTTTAGTTTGTTGCCATATTGTTTTCCCTGAATTATTTCAGCAAGTTTTACCATGACAGGAAGAACAGTTATTTCCCTAGTGGCGTGTGGCTTTTTGTGTTTTGCTATTATTTAAGAAACTTCAAAGGAAGTTTCTGGAGTTTTATCACTAGGGCACACTATGACTAGAGTCAAGTCTAGGTAAAGTGGACCAGTGTATTTTTAAGCATCTGCTTTTAGAGTTTCTCCAAAAAATTTTAAAAAGTAGTGTTACCATAATATCTGTCAAAGAAAAGTGGCATCATGTAATAGGTGCCTTCTAGTGCTGTCAGAAGGACTTAACAGACCTTTTTTTAAAATTTGAACAATAGTTGAATCATTTTTACTTTGAATTCTATACCTGTTGGGGAAAAAAAATGAAGATGAAAAGCAATTACAGTGGTGTGGATCGTTTGAAAGATGTTGGTTAAAAGTATTTTGAGAGCTTGCTATTTGTATAATATTGTTTGAGGTTAACCAAAGGCACAGTGTGAATGTATTTTTCTCCTCTGAACTTTGTGCAACATGAGGAGTTTGGTTTCAGCATCTTCATTTTCTGTGGCAGCAGCCAATATTGGAGGTTCTTGAGCTGTGAACCATTACCTTGCAGCTTCTCCATCTTTTTTCCTACATAAATTTTAAAGCCAAATGCTATGGTTTTTCTGTTATGTTAAGCAAAATTGTAATTTCTTCCTTCTTTCTCCTGTGTAGAGTTTAGTTTTGTATCTTTAGGAAAATAAGGTTAGTGGATGCATCCATCTCCCCATAATTCTTCTGTCACCTGTCACCAACTTTGATCAAATTGTGTGAAAGTTAGAAGTAGAAACTGAGTATTTCTGAAACAATTTTTTTGTCAAATAGGCCAGCAAAACCCCACATTAATACCTCTATTAAAATAAAAGGGTGGTAGCAGAGCTTCAGTTATTTTGTTGTACACCTTTTCATCTCAGTGGAGGGGAGAGACCAAACCATGGGAGATGAAGCTTAAACAGTTTTGTGATCAGTAGATTTACCATCTCATAAATCCATTGTGAGATTATTCCTGGAATAAATTTGTCTTGTTAGTACACAGGGATAGGTGTTAATCAGAGTAAAGAGGCTATGCTTTTCATGCTGTAAACAATTATAAACTATGAACATAAGCTGTGTAATTAAGTAATCAAAGCTCTTGTGACTTAGTTTGTGTGCTGTGGAGTGTACACACATGCATGAAATGGAGTTGTTTACACTGAGGGCAGAGTTACTCATTTAACTTGCTCTCAATGTAGGATTTTTCTGCTTTATGTTAAGTTCATGTTTCAGAAACTCCTATTAGTAGACCTCTGTTTCTTTTTGTCTCTAGGAAATTGTGATAAATGCATCAGTACTGTAGGAAATGAGGCTATTCCACAAGTGTGGGCCCTTACAATTGGCTTGATCAGGCTGGGTTCACATGTGTCCCTATGGGGAGCCCCTGTACATTCAATGGTGCTCTGCATGAGCACAGGGTCCATCTGTAGCCAGCGCGGTACCTTAGCCTGCAGCTATACCACCTAGAGCTGTGTGCTTATCAGAGCTAATAATGCAAGTAATGACAGCCTGTCCTGCACGTGTTCCAGAGCTGTCCAGGGAAAAGAAACCCCAAGGGTTACAGAAATAAATAAAAAATAAAAGGCTCTTGTTAACTTAAGAAGTAATCCAGGCACGCAGTTAAAAGGCTGGCTCATTGCTGTGCGTGGTTGTCAGCCTACCAAAATAGCTTAGGGAAAAAATAACCATGGAAAGTATGTCCACTCTGGTCATATTTCATTTTACTTAGATTATTTAAATTTGCTTACAACTTTTTTTTTTTCAGATTCTTCCAGTATATGTTCTTGTGTGTTCTGCATGTTTCTTAAGAATTTTGTAGCTCTCAGTTTCAGAAAGATTTTTGTGTGATTTAGGATTTTCAAGCACTTTTTTCAGTGAAAATGGATATATTAGTAGTTTTGTCAACTTGGGTAATAATTCTGTTAACAGGCTTTCTGGGAAATACTAGTCAGTTTTCTGTGACCGTTATGTAAATATGCTTTATTGTGTTCATATCCATGCATTGTATGTGTGTATGTGAAATTGTGGGCAAAAGTGTCAAAAAACGAGCAAACAAAAACCCCAAAAACATTGTCATAAAGGAATGTTTCACTGTGTTTTTACAAACTATAGCATGAGTCTGCCTGAAACAATATTAAATGATATATTTCTGTATCAGCATGTCCTTGCATTTCAAACCTAAGTAACTAAAAGGATCATTTGTTAGCTTTTGCCTCACTTACTGATTTTATGAAATAACTTCTTAAGTGAGCTGTTTTCCTGTTTTGCTTTAATTTCCAGTTATAAAATCTAAATATGAGTAAGCTTCTTCAAAGCAAATTCATAGCAAATTTCAGGAACCTGGAGTTAGTGTTGTTCATCAGAATGGTGACCTTTAGCACATCAGAAGTTCTGTAGTTTCACCAAGCTGTGCTTTGCTTTCCATGAGTCCATGCCCTAAAACTAGGGACAGCTCCACGCTCTAAAACTAGGGACAGTCATGGAAAAAGTTGCAAGAGCTGTAGTTGTTTCTTAATCATTTCTAAAGAGAAGTTTGTCTAATTTCTTGAGAGCACTTACTCTGCTGTCCAAAGTTACAGATTCTGAAACTGAATTTGATAGTTTTTTTTTTTTTTTTCCAGTAACTGAAATGCAG